TATATTGGAGGATATTAATGTTATTGACAGTTAATAGGAATTTAGTTTCCTATGTGATTCACTATGCTTCGAAGTTATTATCTCTCAGACCACAATCCCAAAACATTAACGTACAATTATGCTATTTCAGCAAATTATTAGATTTCTTTTTTGGACATAATTAATAATATGGTCAAACGTGAATTGCCATATTAAACGTTGACGTTTAAACGATATGATCAGTTTTAGATGGCAATTTCATGAAAAACTACCATTTCATGAAATGACCTGCCACATCTTGAAATGGCCGGCCACCTCATGAAACGATTATTTTCCAAGATCTAGCGGTGACATATCCGTTTTTTTTTTCAGGGATAGATAGAAATTTGTCATAAACAGTATCGACACCATGTTGTAGTATATTTATTTAATTATATTTTTTTATACTATAGGGTAGTTAATGTAACAGCATGTCAAGTTATATAAAACTGACTAACTCCACTTGATATTAAACCATTATACGTTGAATGTAGAATTCAAAATTATTGACGGAAATTTATCATATAGCGGTAACCTGCCGTGCCGGCTGCACGTGTGTGTAGTTTATAATTATGATCAATGGCTATTAAAATTTTGGGTAAAGTATATTAAAACTTTCATATGATCATATTCAACCACTATCAGATTTATTTTTCTCCAAAAAGTGTTATAATAGGTTTTTACCTATCAAATTGCCGTTTTGCCGTACTGGCCATTTCAAATAATTATTTTTGCTTATAATTCTAATTTCAAATTAATTTTATTTTAAAAACATGACATTCCTTTTTTCTAAAGTCGTCGTATGTTTAATAGTTAGTGTTGTGTTTTCAACGCATTCGAAAATTATTCGTCGTCATGGATCAGTTAAAAATTCGAGTAATTATGGAGTACCGTCGTGGCAGCAAAGCGGCACAAGTGGCACTCAACATCAACGACGTTTACGGAGCGAACACTACAAACGAACGCACCATCCGTTATTGGTTTGCCCGCTTCCGTTCTGGAAATTTTGACCCGATAAATGAACCCTGTGGTCGTACGAAAAGTTTGGTCGACAGTGACAAATCAAGGCCATTGTGGAAACTGATAAAAATCAATCTACGGCTGCATCATCAGTAGCTTTCGACGTTAGTATTGAAACAATATTGTCCATTTGCGTCAATTTGGCAAGCTACAAAAAGGTTGAAAAATGGGTACTCCACTAACTCAATGATCGCTAGCGCGAAGTACGCGTCGAGACGTGCCTTGCACTGCGCAACAGGCATACAAATGGAACGAATTCTGAACCGTATTGTTTCTTGTGACGAGAAATAGATCCTGTTCGACAATCGTAAGCGCTCAGCAAGTTGGTTAGACACTGGATCAGCATCCAAACAATGCCCTAAACGAAAACTTACCCCTAGAAAGTGAAGGTTTTTGTTTGGTGGTCTAATGCGGGTGTAATTCATCACAGCTTACCAAACGGGACGAGCATTAATGCAGATATGTAATGTGAAGCATTGAACACAATTATGGAGAAGCTCGCACGTCTCCAACCACCTTTGGTCAATCGTTCGGCTCCACTGCTCCTGCATGATGACTTATACTGCACAGCAGACGTTCTCCAAGCTCAAGACTCACCAGACTTTGCGCCTACAGACTTCTACTTTTTCCAGAATTTGGATAACTTGGCGAGAAAAATATTCAAAACATCCCGTCCAGCTCAGCCAGAATTTGTTGCCTCCCGTCCAGCTGATTTCTTCAAGAAGGGCATCAGTAAGCTATTAATGGGTGATTGCTTTAATTAATAGAAATAAAAGATATGGGAAAAAAATGCGCTTCATTTATTTAATGAAAAAAGGCAATTTCATAGGTAAAGACCGAACAGGAAAAAACATGTTTTTTATATTTTTATCAAGTTTACTGTGGGCTCTAGTACGTATATACATTTTATATATAATAAAAACGTTATTAATAAATAGTATAATATAAATATACTTGATTATTTTTATACAGTCATAAATAATTCTGTAGGGCTCCAGGGACCAGCTGGAATGCTTCAAGAGACCACTATACATGAGCCACTGTCCTAGATCGTGAAAGATAGCGTGTTGCCTGTTGCCATCGTAAACGTTACCTTTCTCCCTCTGGCAAATGTCAGTATTAAGTGACAGTAAAGCATAGGGTGAAAGAAAAGGGTTATAGGTTGTAATAGTATGAAAATAATTAAATAACAAATTAAACTTTTTATTTTACACAGTGAAACTAAAAGTGGGTCACATCAAATGCTGACACTTAATAATTATAATTTAGGTGTAATTGTGTTAAGTATATGTGTGCGTGTATTAGTATAATGTTGATGACTATATAAATATGGAAATTGATTTGTAATTGTCTCTCTTTTAATAAACCAACGTCAACCTAACAATGTGTTTGGATTTCACCTATAATTAGCAAGCAAGATACCTCAAGGTTATATCTTGCTGCCATATTTTAACCATTTTGATGATAGCAAATGAACATGCAAGGAGGCGGAAGAAACGATTTTTTTAAACCTTGCGTATGACAGCTGACATTAGAATTCAGACGGTTCTACTCGTACTACTGTGCGGGGGTTCACATGTTTCAATAATTCCAAAATTCGTTCTTCCGGGTCCCTCAGCGCGACAGATGAGCACCAACACGCGTTTAGCTATAGCTTACGGGTTCTTTTGCAAAAGTAGGTACTTTGGAGTAGGACTAATTCATATCTATTATATTTTCATGTTAAATAGGTGTCTGTTTAATTTGCAGTGTCCAGATAAAGTTCGTACAATTGTACTTATATTTGATCTGTTTAGCTTCAAGATCTCTTCAGCTAGTTTTTGTGAATGACCTTCAATTAGGGATTTAGCGTGACTTAATCCCGGCTGTTTTTGCCAGTATTTTTTTGAATCCCCTTGCAGGTCATCTTTTAAAATATAGATCACATGGTTTTTTGGGATACCACAAAAAAGCTCCAGTTCTATTTGTAGTCCCTGTACTATAGCCCTTGCTAATTCATCCACTTTATCATTGCCGATGATGCCCGAGTGTCCTGGTACCCATTTAAGAATAACTTTATTATTTTGCCCCAGTTCATTCAATCTGTCAATACAGTCCTTTACCAGTTTCGAATTTGACTGACGAATTCTTTAAGCACTTATTACTTTTTCGCTACTCAAAAATGTTCAGGCAATCAAGCCAAACATTTATTACATTATTGATTTTTATATTTTAAACTTTCGTTTGAAATTAAATTGTGTTCTAATTATTATATCTCGAGCACCTGTACCCTGAATTTTTGATATTTCAATTTATTATAGAGATTTTTACACAATGCTCTTGACAAATATATGCAAGAGCTTTCGAAAGCTAGATTCTTTCGTATATTGAAGTACTAATGGTGAGAAGCAAAAATTTAAGACCACACATAACTAGGTAATTATTATGATTTCGTCAGTAGCCTAGGGCAAATGCAGATAATATTAAAATGCTAATAGATAACAAAACTTATAGTAACTGTTATTTGCATAATTTACGATAATCATAGATTACGTTATATTTTTAAATATAAATTTGAGTTTTCCATATACGATAACGTCATAATACTAAAGTTTTTCATATCGGTAAGTAGGTAATTAATCGATTTATCACATTTCATTTTTATTTTTTTAATAAATTTGGTATTATAAAGAAAAATATGGATAGTATGAGGTATTATAAACTATAATAGTTATTGGTTCCCTAATTTTAGAGACATATTGGTTCCTTTTCCGATATATTACCGTTCGAGATTATAATCTTTTTAAAATTTGATGACCGAACTTCATACTAAAGTCTGTCTTACGAAAGAAGTCCCGCGTCATAATTGTTAGTCCTTTGCAATAAAAGCGAAAAAATTGCGATACAAGAGACTTCTTTCGTGAGACGATGTCCACCTAAAATTAGGTTAATGTAGGAAGTCACGTATTTTACGAAAATTTTACTTCACATAATTAAATATATCTTAAATACTTGCCGATATTTTTTACATTCTAGAAAACATTTTTTTAAACGTTCCTGTGGTTTGTGAGTTCAACCAATACAAACAAATTGACACGGTGTTCAATTAAATAAAACCTACTTGAAAAGTTAATAAAAGTTTTATGAAACCTACTAGCTGTTGTCCCGCGACTTAGACGGCGTAAATTATAGCCCATGTTAACCCCGTATGATGTAGCTGAAAGAATTTATAAATTCAAAAACAAACAGACAACCAAATCTTTCCTCTTAATACGAGTAATATTAGTATAGATGAGCTGTCACAGCGCAGAGTACGATGTGTCCAATCCAATGCTATTTTTTTAGAACAATAAAGCAGATCTATAGGTTTTATTTATTCAAGTATTCGAAATAACTTTCTCAAATTAATTGTTAATAATTGTTATTATTTTCGAACCATTTTTCTATTATACTGGTAGTACATTAAAAATATCATTATTAAACAAATATTTATGAATAACTTATATTTTTTCATTGATTGTCAACTAAATTATAATAAAATATTTATCCTTTTTGGATAAGTAGTTTATCCATAAAGAATAAATATTTTATTATAAAAACATCAACATATCAGAACCCCTATGTTAATTTCGAGTAAATAAATATGTTCATTAAGAAACAATAAAAATTTCTTTTTCATGTATAAATTAATTATCCATTAAGAATAAATATTTTATTATAAAAACATCGAATCAGAATCCCTATGTTAATTTACGTAGTTGACAATCAACAACTGATTTCTTAATCAAACAATGAATCTGTCACGAACCATTGATTTATAATTGTATTCTTTCTAGAAAACTATCCGTAAATAATTTTTATTGAATGAATACGTCTTATCATTTTTCAGAAACCAGAAAATGGGGCTCATAAAAGTTTTCGTAACAATTTTCGTAATTTCCTTGGCTTCAGAAACTTACGCAGCTATTTCTAGACAAGTTCAAATGGCGTCATTAATGGACGACATATTATCACCGTCGAACGCTGAAAGAGCTTTAAAAATACTAGCATTGGCGGCTAGAGGCGTGAGTAGAGGAAATCCTATGCCAAATATTCCAAACTTCGACGAAGTTCCCACGCCAAGATACTCTGTTCAGCCAAAAGCTAAATTATTAGCGGAGTTGCTGCAACCGCGTAGGCCAATTCCACGCCAAGTCCCTGTTGAAGCGGTGCAAGCACCGAGAGAAATTTACCAGCCAGTTGTAACGGAACAAATATACCCTAGCGTGCCAATCCCGCAACCTTGTGCGGTGCAACCGCCAATAGTGAGGGCCGTGCCAGAAGTTTATCGGGCCGTGCCAGAAGTGTACACGGCAGCGCCACAGCGATTAATAAGCCCGTTTCTTCCTGCGGCGTCACCAGTTTCTGCTATTGCACCGCCAACTTCCAGTTTGCTCCCACCAATGGATCCAACACAAGTCAGAAGTCATTTCTTGAGGAGGATGCCTATACCACCTCCCGCTATTTAATAAGTATATTTTAGTGTAAATAATATTTATTTGTGGAATAAATGCATTTTAGTCAATAGTTTTGTAAATTTTGATTTACCTTTCTTGATATATAATAAGAAATTACTTTTTTCGTTCTTAGATATTTCATTAATGACATATGTATGTTTAATATATTGTAATGCTAGATATGTTATTAGATTCATTAGGCATATGTAGTAAAAGGCTTTGTTATTATTAATATTGACCTAAAATATTATTTACTTTCTCATTAATAATTTACTGAGCAGTGATGCTTTCAAAATATTAGGAAAAAAGAAACTTATAATACTATCTAGGAAGATGTAAAATTTGAGATGTTTGTTATTTAATATGATTAAACAGTTTAAATTCGTTTATATTGGATAGTTGAAGGATTGAAAGTTTTTTTAATCATAGCTAGCTTACTGTCTATTGAAAACTAACAGTTTTCCCGTAACTTCGCATGCGCAAACTATAGCTTATATCATATGCCTAGGATGTTGCTTTTCATAAGTGTAATTTTAAAATGCAAACTCTACCAAAAACTAGTATAAGATTGATTACAATGCATTTGACATCAGAAAAGAGTGATATAAAGTAAACTTTTTATTGCTATGAAACGATTTAATTTCAACTACAACAACAATAAAATTTCTTTAGTTAAAATGATAAAACTCATACAAAACTTATTGTCGATTGTTAATTATATGCTAGTAAACTTTTGATTGTGCAAATATAACAAATATTACAAAACAACAAGGATAAAAGGAGAGTTTTTACCAATAAATACCAAGTTGACCTAGTTGATTTACTAAAATACAGACATGTGTTCTAACACAGTGTTATTATTATTATTATTTTCTATGCTGACTAATGTAAGTATGACGTATTTATATTTAACTTTTACACCGATTTCATAAATAGAAAATCAGCGTTAATATTTTGTAATAAAATCAGTCTAGAACTCAACGACAGCGCTGAGCGCAATGAGACAATGCAGCGCTTCAAAACTTTTATTATCTTTTGAAGTAGATTTTATTTGGCTGAACCTCTCTGTTGTGACTGCGCCTGTGTTCAACTTCGAGTTCAACGCTGATTTTATAGTAGATAACTATATTAGAAAAGTGAAACGGAGGCGAAAAAAAAATTATTAGTACTGTTATGATGGCATGTGTAGTCACGTGTCGAGATGCCGCTAGCAAAAAAAATGTTATATCACAGAATTATCGAACATGAAAGATTTAGAAAGAAGTATTTAAATGAGTTTGCACTTTCAGCTTTGTCTGAGATTATTGTTGTTTTGCCTTTTACAGGTAAAAGCGTTCATACCCGTGTCTTCACCAGTTTCAGTCGCTTCCTCGTCTACACAAGTAAAGCCAAGTTTATGCCAGTCGGCTATTACCACTCTACCAGACAGACCATTACCAGTTAATGTTGGAAGTCCTTTACCCACTACAATTGCGCCGCGACCTGTCACGCCTTTACCAGCTATAGCACCTTTACCAAGTTACTCTGAATTACCACGGCCAGTCAATTTAATATCTACGTCAACAGCAATTACGCCAAGGCCGATATTGCCTCCGCCAGTCATCGCACCACGACCAGTTGTACCGCCACCAATTATTTCTGAAATACCATTGCCAGTCAATTTAGCAGCTCCACTTTTCCCTACGATATCACCGAGACCGATAGTGCCTCCGCCAGCTGTCACTCCGTTACCATTTGTTGTACCGCCGCCAATTATCCCTGAAATACCATTGTCAGCTCCATTACTGCCTGTAATTGCACCGAGACCGGTAGCACCTCTGCCAGTAGTTGCACCACGACCAGTTGTTGTACCACCGCCAATTGTACCTGAAGTGACAGTGCCAGTCGGCTTGGCGGCACCGCTGCCTCCAGTTTTTACGCCACCTTGTACCGTGCCAGTTGCGCCTCTTCCTGTTGGTATAGCAAACCCTTTCCTACCAATCGCATCTCCTGTTTCAGCTATGGCACCATTTTTGTCGTCCCTACCTCCAATTTCACCATGTTGTAATGGATGTCGGTATCTGAGACAGGTACCATTCCCACCTCCATGTATATAAACATAATTATTTATTACAAATACTTATCTGCTTCCGCTTATCTTTAATTGGGTGATGGCTGAAAATATATCCAATCAATGAGTGATTTAGGTACACCGAACTTGACTCTACTAAATACTTCAAATAAGTACAACATTCGAATGTACTTTTGTTTATCTTTTCTTTATACATCTTTATTTATCCATATAAAAAAAATTTATTGCTTTCTCGTAACAATGTTTTTTTTTTTGTTATATAAGTCGTTTTAAATGGCAGGTAAGATTTTTGTTAGGCAGTGAAAATCAAAGATTTTTAAATTAAATATGTCAAAGAAAGACGTTAAAATATAATAATTACCTACCTCACACACAAGAATGTTGTATAGACGTTTAAAAATGTTCACATAAGGAATAAATAAATAAATTATATAAATGTATTTGTTTTAATTATTCTAGTGAATAAAAATGAAAACATTTCATTTTTTTAGTGGTAAACATCAGTGTATTTTTATTTGCAATCATTGTGCCCAATACTTGAAGTTATGATAAAAATTATTTCCTTAATATCAGTTGTTTCGATTAAAACATGGTGTAATAGGTTTATGATTAAAAATGAATTTCCTCGATTATGACATATATGATAAATTCATTGTGAAACGAGAATATCGAATGAAACGCATAAAAAAAATGAAATCATTATTATGACACTTTTATCAACACGCTCCGTTGTGATGAAAATTTAAAGAAACTGATGAAAAAATAACTTTTCGTAATAAAATGACAAGTTCAAAATATCACGGACAATGCATTTGTTGTTCAAGCAGTATTTACACGTTGAAAAGTGACCATAGAAATTTTTTTTCAAAATGATAAACTATTGCATTACTATTGCATTTTAGCTTTCATATTTCTTAAAGTGAGTATTCATCTGCGTTTATTTATATTTAAGTTGCATTATTCAGAAAAAGAAAAATATTTCTCTTACGAGAATTAATTAATATATTTATCCTCTGGTAATCCAATAATATTTGGAGAATATCTTTTTGTTCTATATAATATCTATTTCCATTCTAATCCTATCTTGGTGTACCTGGGGATGGTGGCATTTGAGCACTTTTCATAAAAAATACAGTATAGCATTGCGAATGTTACATCATTAAAGTCTTTGCATTTTGAGTTATTTAAATTATATCTTTAAAATATTATAGGGATACCAATGCCTGAATAAATTTAGATAAAATTTGACACTCACATATTTAGTAAATAAATAGTGAACATTGTTGATAATTCATTAATCTGTATGTATTTCTGCAGTTAGCGGTCTCTACAGAATACTATGAGTACTCAAAGAGAGTGAAAAAGTCTTACACAAGCCCGAAAACAGAATTTGCCACATCAGTGATAACCGTTTCGGATCAGTACCAACAAAACTCATATTCTACAACAGCAAAGGATGTACCCAATGGCGTCAAAGTAACCTATTTGCCAGAGATCAAAAGTCCGATATATATGCAACCGCCAACGCCATATGGCAACGGTGGCGTAAAAGTGTCGTATTTAGAGGAACCACTATTTGGCCCGCCATTGATGCAACCGCCCCCGGCAATAGAAAGGGATACGATATCCAAACCGAATTATATAAGGGATATGAAGATACCACCACCTTTCGTTTGATATTTTAAAAAATAAATGCTTTTCTCATAGTACTATATAATTTATTTAGCCAAACTTGTGAATACGACGTAAAATACAATTAAAAGAAAGATTTTACTGTCTTATCGAACAGGCTCTGAAACTACTGGACCAAATTTATTTGTTTATTTGTTATTTGTTTTTCACCTGCTGGAAGCTAAATCGTACATGCATGGCTATAATTTACATAGTCGAAGCAATAAGTTATTTCCAGTTGATCTAGAACTATGAAGTTTGACGTGTATTGTGCAAGGTCAAGGAGGAATTTAAAACTATACATTTGTAATTAACTAGAAAAAAAAAAATCTTAATTTCGACCCACTAATATTTTTAAATTTAAACTTAGACCAACTGTTATATGAAAGATTTTATTTATTTTTCACAACGCATGAATCATGTTTATAATGAAAAATATACGAATATATACTTAATATAAATACGGAAAACCCAGGGCGTGAGTACGAGACGCTTTTGGTCGTTTTTAGGATTTTAGTCCGACTGACTTTCATTGTTTTTTTAATATACATGATTAAATATCAATTTTCTTTGTTTTAAAGTGGCCGACTCTTCTGAAATGTTCAATCCTACCACAAAAACAAGGTTTATGATATCAAAAGATTTACATGTTTTATCGATAATTACTGTTATCGATATTTTGAGAAAACACGTACTTTTGATATTTGATTCAAGTTAATCTATTGTAAGATAAAAGATGTTCATCTGATATAAAATGTATAAAACTAAAAATACTTAAAGCTTACAAGATAGTGTTCAAAAATTATTCTAAATGGCACACTGTATATGTTGATATAACAATATGGCGATTCGGCAACTATTATTTTTGCTGATCAACTATGTCTGCGCTAAGGTAATAACTTTAATTTAATTATTCGATATTTGTCATATTTCATACGTTAATTTTAATGGTAGTGGAATGATTGAGTAAACTTACTGCTTTAATATTATGGTAGAGGGTTGGAATCTACAGTGAATTAATTTATTCTTCAAATAATGTCGAATGTGGTCCAACAAGCAAGGATTAACGACTTTCGAACCGGGACAGAATGCCTACTCTGTTTCTTCGAAATCAAAATCTCATCTATTTTCTAGACTAAACACCAAAGAAACTCATTTTTCATGAGGTAGGACCTGACACTGCCTCTGATGCACAGATAATCTTTTTATTTATTTATTTAGACAACTTGCTAAACTAACACATATTAAAATGCTACTTACAAATCATACGTGGCTCATGTTGATGTATTGTTTTATTTACAAGCTGCCACGGCATGCGTTAGTGGTACAGGAAATCATAAAAACTAGAAACTACAGATGTTAATGCCAATTTTGTTTTGCCAATCACTTAATTGTTCACAAAATTTCTAATTTTAATTTAAGTTTCATTCTATTGCTACTACGCAGTCACGTGCATGATATCAAATTCCTGTGCATTATAATAAAACACAACGCAGTTTGAGTGAATCAAAACCATAATAGTCTAGTCTGTACTACATAATTGCACCACTATAGTTGTATACTTACACTACAACAAAACATCTTTATTTTTATCATTGAGGTAGGTTTATTATGAATTACTTTAACGCATAATACATTAAAGTGTCCTATTTAGTTTTTCTTTATATATAGTTCTTATAATTTAGTTAAATTTATATCTTCACGGATATGATATTAATGAAATTATAAGAACAAGTTGACCAAGGAAATATTGATAGTGACTCTTTTCTTAAGCTTTTGAGATAAATTGCTAATAAAATTCACAGGCATAAATGAATTTTTACCTTGTACGAACACGTTTCTTCTATTACATTCGATGGTACCATCATACCTCATATGGATCTCAAATAATTGCTGCGTGAAGTTCAATCAACCAACTGCGTAACTTTTTATCAATACACACTAAAGTTGCCCTGGCAGTTTGTGCCTTTTGCTTTCGATCCTTAACTACGCTGATGATTGTTACACTGATCTGTCAGAAAAACTCCTTAGTTAGCTGGAGAATTTGTAGAATATGTGTATCAGATTCATTTTCAATCTTCGTAAATATGACCAGGGGTCGCATTTCCGCTCTTAACTAATCTGGCTCCCATATTTGTCGGCGCAGAGACTTACATATTCTTATGTTACTATTGAACCGCGTTGAATCAGCAGATTGGTGCGAAAATCTACACTAAATAAAGTTTTATAATGATTTAAAATCCATTAATTTTTAATTTATTCAATGGCATCCCAAGCAGTTATTATAATTAATCTGTAGAGTAATTAATAAGCAGCATTATCGCCACGGTTTAGTAAGTCATAGCACTTAATATCTAGCGATAAGGTATATATATATATATATATATATATATATATATATATATATATATATATATATATATATTTTTTATTAATTTCGTTGACTTTAACATATACAGATATTCAAGTATCAACTGTTATAAAGCTCTTGTATATTTTTTCTCACGAGCCCTCCGTCTATACATTTACCAACATGAATGCACTCATCATATTTTCGGAAACAATTAGAGTGTGATTTTGATTTAATTTTACTTTTTTTTCAGAATGCATTAGCCCAAATCGTTCCTTATAATACTAATGGATGTTGCCAAAGACCGCCTGGCAATCAAAATCAAATGATCAACCTTCAACAACCGGTACCAACAAACTTCATCCAGAATACTCCAATCAACTTGCCGATAACTCAACGGCCAGCCAACGAATTGACAATTATTAGCAATCTGCCAGTTATTAATAAGGCACCAAACAACGTACAAATAATAAGTCAAGTTAACCGACTACCTGCCTATAATTTGGCACCAGTTAATACACCGCCAAATCTAAATAACATCCTAAATTTCAATCAAATCAGTGGCCAACCATATAACAATATACCAATCGGAACTAATTTGCCGATAGGTCTCATAAACTCGCTACCATTAAATAATCAAGTTTTAAGTAGTAACGTACAGCCCGTTAATCAGTACAATTATTTGCGCAACAATAATCCAAGCGTGCCAATTATAAGTCAACTTAACAATTTACCTCTTAACAATCTGCCAATCAGCGCACCAGTTGTAAGTCAACTAAATGGTTTACAAATTGGTAACCTACCCATAATAGACACGTTATTACTTGCCAATCTTCTAAATATTAACACTTTGCCAACACCCAATCCGCAGCCGATCAACAGAGTGCTGTTTAATAATATGCCAGTGTCTAACTTACCAGTATTAAATAACGTTCCTTCTTATAATACAATTCCAATCGTTAATAATAATATTCCGTTTAGTAATACACAACCGATTAATGCAAACCTTATTCTAAGTAATTTGCCGATTAGAAATAATTTACCTGTAATCAGTAACCAACCACCAAATATATTGCCAAATCAATATCAGAATCTAAACAGATTGGCACTTGTTAATGCTTTACCGAAAAGTATTAATCCAAATTTAGCGAATAGTAACTTTTTGGGTAACACGAATGTCGTGATTGGCCAGCCAAATAACATAGTACCGAGTTTGCCAATTGCCAATAATCCACAGTATATTAGGAATATTCCTAATCCACAGGTGAGCATTCAAAATTTACCAGTTGCCAATGATTGTGGCTGTCGGAAATCTGCCTCATCAATGCTAGTTGAAAAGGAAATTGGGAACTCTTTGAATGAACCAGTGGTGTCTTTGAATGGGTTGCAGCTTGGCGGACTTGGCGGTCTTGGTGTCTTACCATTATACAAAGGCTTGCCAGTTATTGGCATGACGGAAAGTATCGTCAATCTTGATTCTTGTAACTGTTCAAATTAAAGAGGTATCTTTTAATTATCGCTAGTTCAACATAGTTATAACATGTTATGTGTGTTCGTTTCGATATAAATGTAAATTTGCAAAAATTTTAAAGTGCTTTAATGTCAGACTAGCTTGTTTTAAATTTTTGCTCTTGTTTTTAATTGTATGCTTTTTATCTTTTACAATGTATATTTTTAAATTAAAGTATGGATGTTTTGTAAATATTTATTGTAAATTAAGTGTTATGTCGTTTGTTGTTAAACCAAATTAGTAGCGCACTATCTGAATTGTTTTAGGGTTTGATTAACCGATTTCATCTTTGATTATTTTCTTGTAAATGACAGTGACAGTAGAGGAAAGAACCAAATATATAAAATAGTATCGGTAATATGAAACATTGAAGTTCTTTAATTAATTATTCTTCTATCGAAAGAAGAAGAGCTGGAGATAATAAAAATTTTGGTCACTCATGTTATGATAGGTCCTTGCGAAAGTTGCTTAACTTCCGCCATGAAGATAGAACGTTCTAACTACTGCGCCATCGTCTCCTCATATTAGTGATACTATTCCATATTTGGAGGTAATAGTCTAAGGGAATCATATTAGCATCTGTTTCCAATAGTTTCTTGTATTATATTTTAAGTAAATATAAGACAACATCACATGCATTGCTCAGATTCCAAGATGAGTAGCCCAAGCCCCCGTATTATTAAGTATTTAAGACAACGAAGGTACCACAACAGTAGAAAAGTGAGTTTTCTACATTGATCCGACCGGGAATCGAACTCAGGACCTCGGTTACCTTTGTAACCGACCTACGAACCATTCGGATATGGGGTTGTCTTTATTGTAGTTTGTCTAAAAGATGTTTAAATATAATGTCATGTAAACATTTTGGTTTAGGTATCTAGTTACAGTTTCCAATAAACAATGTTATAACATTTTTGATATTAGAAAAATTCACTTATGAAGTTTATCAGTTCAAACAGTTGCTTTGTATTCTTTTTCTTACTTTTAAGCATTAATGTCAAAGCTCACAAATTGGTATGTTAAGTAAATTAACTTTTTTTAAAGAATTTTAAAAAGAGAAAAATAGCAGTAAAGCGTGGAGAAAAAGTACATTTTAGAGTTATATTTAATACCTATTTAATACCTATTTATTATGCAAATAAAATTTTTATATTTGTTATAATTATTTTTTATGTTTACCTGCACACGACTCGTTTGGTAATAATTTTTAAAAGGATTATGACTAATTTTAACGCGGAGCAGCTTTTGTTATATCCGCTGCTCTACTGCGTAACCAAAGAATTGTTGAATGTAACTTATACCCGGATTAATCGGTCATAATTAAGCCTTGAATGATCTGCCAGTGTAACTGATTAGCTGTCAGCAGACAAAACCAAGGATAGGTCTGTTCAATTCTCTGATTTGATCCATGAAAACGGACTAACTAACGGACCTACTCTATTGACCTGGTCTACTATGCAAGACCGTTTTTGTCGATATACATACACTATAACTTATTGAAAAATACATGAAAAAAAAATCAAAAATCAACAATTTTCATAAATGTGAATCTTTTTTTACGTAAACATAATTATGATCTGTTATGAATATTAGGCCATTACAAAAAGTATGCATTGCTAAAGGTGTTTATTCGATTATCTGTATGTAAACAGATATTACAATGTTGACTTAATGTTTTCTTCGTGAGAAAATGCTCTTCAGTTTTAAGCTAATGTGACTGATTTGTTCCGAGTTATCAATTTAATAAAGATCCCTGTACACGGTACTATTGAGAATATATAATTTTGCGCTATGTGGCACACACTGTAATGTTATCTATAAAAAGCCTCGAGCACTTCATAAACGTTCAATCAAATAAAACCTACTTTGAAAAGGTAATAATGGTTTTATTTCATTGAAAATCTAAGAAATGACAGCGCTTCGTTTGATTACGAGTTCGAAGTTGTTTTCAAACAGAATAGCATAACTGTAGCGCTATTATGTTTATAATGCCTACTCTGTTCTCTGATTTTATAATTTTGTTTAAATCATATCCGTGAAGATTATCTGTGCGTCAGAGGCAGGGTCAGGTCCTATCCAAATGTGGCTTTCTTTGGAGTCGTATTAGCGTTTCAAAAATAGACATAAAAAATCCACTTTGTCATTCTGTAATGGGACCCGAATGACTTTTCGCAATCCGGGCGACTGATATAACTATTAAGCTAGGACCTAACAGGACTGACGAATTTTTCAAGTACTTGTCACTGTTTTTCGCTAATACAGAGTGTATTTTCATCAATGGTCAAGCAATCCACCCAAACAGCCGAAATATTTATACTTTCGATAAAAAATCGTATAGCATTATGAATGCAAAATTGATCAATATAATAAATATACGAAATTAAGTTTTCTAAGAAACAAAGTACGCTAATCTAAGGTTTTATGCATATCTGACGGAAGATGCGTTGCATCGGTCGCGAAACGTCAGCGCTGAGTAATATATTATGAATTAATGATACATGCGACTTTGCATTTTTTTTATTAGATACATAAATTTCGAAAATATTGGATTTTCTTATTCTAACTACACATAAAATAATTTGAACACACGATGAAAATAATTTCCTCGTATACTTTTATTAGGATCTTCTGTGATTTACATTACACCGACCCTAAATCTTTGAGTATAAGAGCGTAATAATATTTTAAATTATGGACTTACTTAGATAAATATATGTATCGTGTGCGATAGGTATAATGTTTCGATAAAAACTGCAAACATAACTAAAACACAATAACATTACCTGCCACATTGGTTACTCGCTGACAAGTCTAAAAACATGTCTTTCGTAAAGATATTATTCGTTACAATACTGATTTTTGTAACTACGGTGAGTATTTAAAAGTTTATTTTATAAATATTGTCTTTTTCAAATATTACCATACATAAATTACAAATATGTAGTAGATCAAGTGTTTCGAAGGACATTATTCGCATTGTCTAAACTTCTAAAGTAATTCGAATAGTTAAACGCAAATAAATCACGTTTGTATGAGCTTCCTTAAATTCTTATTTTATTTTCTTCATATTTGTTGTAACACCTGCAATAGAAATACATTATCTGTAAAAACTTTTACTGTCTAACTATCATGGTTCAGAGAGAAACACAGCCTGTTGACAGAAGACAGCAAAGTTTTAGTTTTAGGATCCCGTTTTTACCCGATTTTGCCCTACTCATACAGAGGATTCGTTTTTTTGTAAATTTATATTGAACAGTCAGTTTTCTAATCTGTAATGAAATCATCGTCGTATTTGACCTCAAGTAAAGCGCTGTCCCAGTATAGTTCTCGATATTAAACATTTTTTTTTTAGAAAACTGCTACAGTTTATTTTATTTTTTCAGTCTTACTGTAACCCCCTGTTTGGCAATCCGTTAGAAGTACTTGGGATATTCACAGAAGTCATGCCAATAGTATCAGAGGTACCAGGAGCTCAAGAAGTCCTGGAGGCGAATACTAATATTCCTGTCGGCTATTTTTCTAAAATACTACAAGCCTTAGGTATATTGTAAAAGAGGATTTAACTGATAAGAAAAAACTAATGTTAACACTATCACAGATATCATGTGGTATTCATAATTAAAATATTTTATTAAGAACATGTTTCTCAATTTTTAGCATAATTCTTATTCTTAATAACTTACCTAGGCTTAATTGTATTTTGAATAATAGAGGTAATATTTTGACATAATTGTTTTTTGGGTCATAGTGTATTTTGGCATATTAATCTTTTAAGCTACTTTTTCGCATAACGGCTTAGACATAATACTAGAGGAAATTATGTCTGACCCGTTATGCGTAAATAGTACGTATTAGGCCAAATAAAAATATGCAAATTGATAGGGATATTCAGTAAGTAAGATTAATTTACCCGGGTTTTGAATTTGGATAGTTTTACAGTTTTTATTTATTTGCTTTTTACATAATCACGAATGATAGTGATAAAAGTGAAAATTATAAACAACTTGAAAATGTCTTTATTTTATTTAAGAAATTCAAGCAGGTGATTCCTTTAGTTTCAAGAATATTCTTAAAGTTTAAAGACGCAACACCGCAACAAAAAATTACTAACTCTCTATCTCATAGAAATAGGCATTTTTTTTCTTTAGTTTACTTTGGTCAGTAACATTTCGTGATAATATAAAAGTCGTAATTTTTTCCTTTATGAACGATACATTAGAGGTTCAATCAAATAAAATCTACTTCAAAAGGTAATAAGGGTTAATTTCAGATACAAAAATAACATTTATTGTGCTGCCAAATATTTGCAATTCCTAAAATAACGATGTGCCTTTAACGGACTTTAAACGATTACAATATTTTTTTATAAGTCATTGACACAATAACTTTTTAAAAACTGCCCAAGTGCGAGTCCTCATTCAAGAAAATTACTCATTTGTTGTATGTGATCACGTTAAATATTTATTTTATACTATTTTAAGTATTTGTTGTTATAGCGGCACCAGAAATATATCAACTGTCAACTATCCCGGTTCATGTGATTCATCCTGGTGACAGCATATTTTATTATTCGTATTTTATTATATTTTAACGTTTTTGATATAGCGGACAAAGAAATACAGTATTTGTGAAGATTTCAACTGTCTTACTTTCACGGTTCATGAGATATAACCTGGTGACAGACGGACAGGCGCACAGACAGCGAAGTCTTAGTATAAGGTTCTCCTTTGGGTACGGAATCGTCAAAAACGAAACTTCACATGCACAAGGACCTACTAAAATAGCAAAAAGGTAGTAAGAAAGGGTGTGTTTAAAAATTCAATTACAAGCCCCTATCAATGATTTATTGTTATTGGTATACATGTCCTCCTAAGGTGGAATTCCACTGTGTCCGCACGCACGAAATGCACGCTATGGAACAGATTTTCCATAGCTTTGTGAGAATTTGTATAGCACTTCGTCCACTGTCCGCATCAACTGTACGTATTTATTACTTGAGAAGAGAATACGATGCATGTCGATGACGTCATACGTACCAAAAGCTACTAACATTACTTCGTAGCGTTATCTGAACAGTCAAATGGTCTCCCATTAAAAATCCGTACAATACGTTGTTATCTTTTAATATGAATTTTAAATTATACAGACGTTGCTTTTACAACGAAGTAAAATTTATTATATGATAAAAGTTTACATAATTATATTAATCGAAATAAACTAACGTATTTACATGGTAAATTATGTAAATGTATTTTACATAAACTGATAAAATAACATTTGATCTGATTAAAGTCACGTTTTAATTTACTTAACATAGTATGATAAATTTATTTCATACTATATAAGACTATCATAACAAAAAATTACTTGTACACTTTAAAGATTTCCAAAATGAACAGTTTATCTTATATATTACCAGTTGTATTCATACAAGTGAGTATTATTTGTCGTATTTAACATTTTTTTTTTGCAAATAAATAATGTTTAATATTGAAAAAAAAAGAAATATAAATAGAGAACTAAAACAAAGTTTTAATTCCTTCTGAAACTAGAAAAAAACTAACAACGAACAAAAACATAATAATAAGATTATGAATTTTATAATTATCCACGTCGTTTAACAGTTTTATTACTATGATTATTTTCTTTTCTTACAAAATTATAACATTGTATATAAAGGCTGTCGAATATTATTCTTCTTTGCATGACGTAGTCGAGAAAAAGAAGGTTTCAAGTCAAAAATGTACGAAGTCCTAATGATTTCTAGTCTATTTTTATGATTATTTTATAATTGTCTGACTAAAAGGTAATTTACACTAATGCCATTTTTATTTTACAGTTATCTTCGGCACAATTAGTAACTTATGGCGTTCAAAATGGACAATCACTAGTTCAAAATTATAACACAAACCAACCAAGAACATTTGCTGTGCAAAATAATGGTATAAATTTGCAAAACACGGCTGTGGCTGGAGTACAAAACATTGGCCTACCCAGTTCAAATATTCAGCTGGGCCAAGCAATACCAACTGGAAGCGTATCCGCCAACTTGGTGGGAAACAATTTGGCCAACACTAATTATTTAACCACCGGATTGGGAAACGCGAATTTGTTACCTAATAATCTTGGAACGAATTTGATAGCCAATGGTAATCTTGTACCATCCAACGCCAATCTTATTGGCAATAATATCGGAACAGTTGGTGGCAACTTCGTTGGTGCCAATTTGGTGAACGCAAATACGTTTGGCCAACCAAATTTTATTGCAGCACCTTTGCCAGTGAATCTAGCTAACGGCTACAATTTAAATACAGGCTCGTTCGCAATTAGTAACACTGGCTTAGCGCAGCTTCTCAATCTACCATGTGGAATACAGATTGTGGCTGATGCGTTAGAGATTGGAGGTACTTTTGGCGTTACTGGACAATTACCATTCTATGCAACAGTCACTGCCAATGGCCAATTACCTTCAAGTGGTTATGGCTATGCTACCTGTGGTTGCGGCGGTCAATGATATTAATATCTGTTAACTAATTATTATATATTTATTAGAAATTGATTGTTATTATTATAATTCTGTGTGTTTTATATAACTATTCCCTTTTTTCTATCATGTATAAAATGTTATGTTCTGATTAATAGTTTTTTCTTCTTTATTCTTCCTAATTATTTAAAAATAATTAAACATAAGACTACTTCAGCTACTAATATATGATACTTGTGTCAGAGGCTTATCTCGCTTTTACCATTTGCTAATAAGGAAAATGTGTTTTCTTTTAATTAGTTATCAAACTCTTTTAATAAGTACATTATTCCATTTTCTACGGGTGTCTCGGCAACTCGACGGCAAAACTGCGTCTGTTTTGTATTTAGAGGGTGTGTGCCGTAAGATATTCCAAGCAGTCCAGCTTTGCCAGAAACTCTCTCAGCGCCTTTACGTCTATGATGGTCTCTTAAAAGTTATCCAGCGAGCCCAGGTAGCTTGGCTAGTAATTAGCCGCCAGCAGGATATGTGTGGTTGTTTCTAATGCCTGAATGCAGCATCCACACACGGTGCTGTCAGTGATACTTAGATAAAAAGGTGTCGCTAAAATTGCCATGATTAGTGATGGTATCTCTAACTAGATGCAAAAATGGTTTTCAGAGTTGTAGGAGGTCCGTCTTGGAGAGGCGAACGTTAATTCGGGGTAGTATGAGTTTGACCTGCCTGCAGATCTCCAAGATGTGCCAGTATTGTTCACATATTTTACCAATTAGTCAGCTTATCGGTTTGAGAATAGTCGGAGGCTATACATTAATTCATAGTATTTTTTAAACTATTTAAGCAATGTAGAGCCTAGCAGTAGTTTGAGAGTAAACGTTGGATTACCTGCCTTGTAACTATATTAAAATTCACTTTAAAATTCGATATATACAGCAGTGATCCAAAAAAGTTACTCAGTTTAATAAGCATTTTCTATTGCCTGAAATATAAAAATAGACAAGAGTAACGCATATCTTCACGCGGACGAAGTCGCAGGCAACAGCTAGTTCTGTTATAAAACCAGGCTTTAACTTTAGAAAATAATAGAATAGAAAGCATTCATTTGGGATAAAATACAGAATTACATAAAGTTACATAGCAAAAAATGAGCAATAAATAATACCAAACGGGTCTTTGATCAGTATGAGATGAAGCTTGTAGCCGCTCTGGTGTTGCAGGTGTCCATGGGAGGCGGTAATCACTCACTATCAGATGAACCGTCTGCTCGTCTGCCCCCTATCCCATAAAAAAAGCAATATTTGCTACGGCACTGAATTTCAGCAGATGCCTCTGAGACTAGAAGTTCAACTAGATACTGATATAACATGCAATATTTAACTTTAATAAAAATACTAATTTTATTATAATATTTTAATATTTAATTAAAATTATAATACAAAGTTCAAACGAATTTATAATAATTTTATGTAGCATGGGGATAGATATGGCATCGGGCTGTGGCATTTCAAAGACAGCGATTATTTTGTAACATTTAACATATTTATTTGTACAGCCAATAAGTAATACTTAAAAATTGTAACCCGTCACGGAATTCTTAATTGGTGAAGGGATTTTAATCTAGCACTTCATACCTGAATACCAAAAACTACCCCAATCATCTATCTTTAAATCTTTATGACTTGACAGCATCGCGCTCGGCGACGAATTCAGGGCTGTTTTTGTACATCACCATCATCACCAGCCCTTTTACGTCCCCACTGCAGGGCTCAGGCCTTCCTTATGGATGGTTAAGGAGGATGGGCCATGACCCTCCACGCTGGCCCATTGCGGATTGGAGGGTATTAGCGACTGCAAATGCATCCGGGACCAACGGCTTCACGTGCCTTCCGAAGCACGGAGTAGCTCGAGATAATAATTTTTTTGGTTACCCATCCCATGACCGACCCTAGCGAAAGTTGCTTAACGACTACAATCGTGGGCTGCGGCGCTTATCCACTACGCCACCAAGCTGCTGTTTTTGTATACTAAGAATATATTTTTTTACATAATACAAAAACTAATAGAACTCAGATAATTTCGGTATAATTCAATTTCCTGGGATTTTTTGACATCTACCTACTGGTCCATTGACAATGTGTGAAATATAATTACTAACATTGATTATACAAACTCATTTTTCATTTTTTTAAATCTGCTGTTACCATCACCACAATACATAAAACGAGCTAATTAAGGAGTTTGTAAGCTTTCTGGACTCTCAAACAAGAAGATAAATCAAGTAGAAGAAACCAAAAACCAAAGGGAATTTAACAAGTATATTACAACACATACCATGTATTTCTACCCGAAATCAAGAAGTTCAATAACAGAAGAGTTGGCTTTGTTATTGTCATTTTTATTAATTACAAACTGTGTACCCGCGACCTCACTCTGGTAAATTATTGCCTATGTACGCGGGTTTTTAAATCGGTCCAGTTGTTTCGGCACTTAATTGCAAACAAACAATTAAAAAGTTCTATGTGATAATTATGCATTTTAGAAAAGAGGTTTTATACATCCATAATTTCCTGTATGAAACATTTGCTGCAAACGAAAACTAAAAATACAACAATGAAAATAGTTATAATAAAGTTTAGATAATGATCTGTTTATTTGACAGGTTCTAATGAAAACGGTTTATTACTTACTCTATGGTTCTAAATATATTATTTTCGAAATTGTACCATCAATATAATATCTGCATAACACAGCTCATTTTAATTACGATTATTAGGTAGGTATGCGTCATAAATGCCTAGCACTAGTATAGTAGACATTATGCCAAAAATAGTATTAGTTTAACGTCCTCTATTTTGTTTCTTTGTGTACCGTTTATTTTGTGCACTATTAATTGACGATACTGTATAATGAGAAAGTATACAAAGCTTAACAGGATCACAAATAAAAGATAATATTTCTAACAAGCAAAAATTTATTAAAGATAATTAATTAATTAAGCAGTTCCACAACCACAGTTATTAATATTGGCAGCACTAACTGTGCCTTCTACTGGTAGATATCCTTCAAAAGTTACATAACCAATAACAGATCGTTGCTCCACTTCGCGAACACCGTTTACGCCAACACTACCAATGTTTCTGGCAGTGGTGCCAGCTAGCTGAACGCCATTGGCAACTGCGTTATTAGCAATTGCATTACCCGCAATATTTTGAGTATTTGCATTACTGAGAACTATATTCGCTGCATTATTGATACCAGTTGCGAAGCCACCGATCTCATTGTTAGCAACGTTCATTTCCTTTTTCTGCAAGAAACTTTCCAAATTTATGACGTTTGGAGCTGTAGCACCAGCAACATTATTACTTGTTAATACATTGCCTAAATTACTTGCTTGGTTTGACGCCACATTATTATAGGCAATATTATTTGATACTACACTGTTGCCAGCGACGTTAGCTCCATTGGCGTTTACGTAAATTTGACTATTGCCCGTGTTGGTACTAGGAGTGTTCACATAACTGGCGCCAATGTTATTATTGCCTATATTGTTTGACACGACACTGTTTCCTGCGATACTACCACTTATTTGGCTATTTGCTAAACTGGCGGCATTGCTTGCCAAATTATTTATGCCTGCATTACCAGATACAACACTGTTGGTATTACTTATGCTGTAATTGTTGCCAATATTTCTCGCTTGAGCTACGACATTCTGAAAAATAAATGAAATTAAATGACGTAGCTATGATTCCTATTTCAAAAATAATTTGACTTATGAAACCTAATGACAAAGTATAACATTGTCTAATTTGAAAATATTGTGATATATATATCAAGTTTTTTTTCATTTTTTATTTATATTTATTTATTAACGTCTAACAATTAAAAAAACTGAATTTAATGTTTTCAAAGTCATACTAAATCACATGTAGACATGCAAAATTAATAATAAATTAAAAAAAGAATTAATAATAATTTACCTGAACTATAACGAGTGAAAGACAGTTTAATAATAGAAACAACTTCATATTGTGACTATTAATTCCAAATAACAAAATAATTACTGATCGGTTGTTATTAATATACTTCTATTACATAATATCAAAAGTATTACAAAATAGTGGTGATAGATATCGACATTTGTTAAAAAGAAAGATAAAGTTATAGATAAGTTTTGTAATTGAAGTTTTCCCGTAATGTTTTGTGAATATTAGCTTGTCAAAGAAATATTTGCTTATCGTCACGAAAATTATGACTGGAAAAACCTTTACGTCTAGGAGATGCAGGCTGGTCAAATTTGCTCTATCCTAAGTAAACGCTTCTCACTCCAAATCTAACTAACCTTGCTTATTATATAATATTATATATAATATTTCTAAAAAGACTTGTGATGGGATCTGCTGACTGTCCCGATCTACTTTCTAAATTAAACTATAATATTCCATGTCATTTACCGAGATCTGGCAGTAGCAAACTTTTCCATCCACCTAAGAGTCGTACAAATCTAAAGTTGCACTGTCCTTTATCGCGAGCAACTGCATTTTATAAGGAATACCAAAATAATATCGACCTTGTTTTGACTTCCATGCCTGCTATTAAGAAACTATTCATACACTAGAATTGTAACGTGTATTATATATTTCTTTTATTATTTTTAAGTTAAAACTATAGCCAGTATAAACGCGTTCTCATATATGGACGTTTCGGTCGCTCGGCTGTGACGCGCGTGCTTGTCTCTCATAGTGCTGCTGTGGCTCGCCTGGAGCGCCTATGTGTGGGAGAAGTGTGTAATGATCTAACAATGCAAGCGGTGCCCTCCTATAAGTAATGGGACACTTAGTATATAACCTTGTCATTATGTAATTTTTATTGTAGTTTTAGTGTACTCATTGTTGGGAGAGCCTGATAAATAAATAAATAAATATACTGCTAAGGTTCAAAATCAAAAATCATCCTTAATTCATTTCAAAAAACATTTTAATAAAAATTTTAATAATATGAATATAATAACATATGAGCCCGTGCGTGCC